TCAAAAAAAAAAAAAAAGATATATAAATGGCCCATATGCACAAAAAAAATGCTCAATGTCTTAACTCATTAGGGAAATGTCCCTCAAAAACCACAGTGAGATACTACTTTACACTCACTGGGACGGCTGTAATGAGAAGAGAGACAATGACAGTGTTGACAAAGACATGGAGAAACTGGAACCCTCATACATTGCTGGTGGAAGAGTAAAATGGTGCAGCCACTGTGGAAAACAGTTTGAAAGTTCCTCAGAAAGTTAAATATAAGGGATGCCATATGATCTAGCAATTCTACTGCTAGGGATGTACCCTAGAATTAAAAACATGTCCACACAATTAAGACAAAGCATTAGTCATAAAAGCCAAAATAAAGTGGAAATAACCCAAATGTCCACTAAGTGATGAATAGATGAACTGACATAGTGAAGTCTCCATACAATGGAATATCACTCAGCCTTGCAAAGGAATGATACATGCTACAGCATGGGTGGACCTCTAGATTAAAATGCAAACTACAACTATTTGCTACACAGGACTATCTCCTATATGTGGAGGAAAGCTGGGTAATGGTAATTTCAAGATGGTATCTGCTCTACTTTCAGTAAAACCTTTTCTTACATTTTCATTTTTGTGTCCATCTCTCTCCACCACCACCAGCACACACACACAAGCACACCCTACCCACTCTTCCCACCAAATTGTATCTTCAATGCCTCCTCTCTAAATCACAAAGTTCCTGTTAGAATCTAACTCTGGGTGGCACCAAGATCAGCAGAACCTCCATTTCCTCCTCTCTTTTCCCAAGACTTATTATGAAAACCCCACGTGGAATTATGTCAGGGCTGCAAGTGAAGCCATTCAACATTTTTCTCCATTAAAAAAATTTGAGAACCACAATATGCATAAAGTGTACATGACATAAATGTTGTATATATTTAATTTAATTTAATTTAATTTAATTTAATTTCTGAGGCAGGGTCTCACTTTGTTACCCAGACCGGTCTCAAATTCCTGGTTCAAGTGATCCTCCTGTGTCAATCTCCCAACGTCTTGTGATTGCAGATGTGAGCCATCTTACCCAGCCAAATTCAGTTTAATAATTATAAAGCAGATACCCATGTAACATCATTAGAAAAGATCACTGCTAGCATCCTAGAAGCCCCCAATGTGCCCCTTTCCAATCATAAACCTCTCTCTAATCCTTATAGGTAACCAGTATCCTGACTTTTATAATAATTTTCTTGCTTTTAAAATGTAGTTCTGGCCTGGCGTGGTGGCTCATACCTGTAATCTCAGCACTTTGGGAAGCCGAGTTGGGTGAATCACTGGAGGTCAGGAGTTCGAGACCAGCCTGGCCAACGTGGTGAAACACTGTCTCTACCAAAAATACAAAAATCAGCTGGGTGTGGTAGTGGGCACTGGTAAGTTCAGATACCCGGCAGGCTGAGGCAGGAGAATCGCTTTAACTCGGGAGGTAGAGGTTGGAGTAACCTGAGATCATATCATTGCACTCCAACCAAGGTGACAAGAATGAAATTCCATCTCAAAAAATAAATAAGAAATAAAATATAGTTCTGGCTTGGCACAGTGGTTCACACTTGCAATTCCAGCACTTTGGGAGGCCAAGGTGGAAGGACTGTTTGGGCCTAGGAGTTCGAGACAAGTCTGAGTAATACAGCAGGACCTCCTCTCTAGAAAAATTTAAAAAGTAGCTGGGCATGTTGGCGTGCACCTAGACTCCCAACTGTTGCAGAGGTTGAGATGGGAGGATCACTTGAGCACAGGAGGTCCAGTCTGCAGTGCGCCGTGTTTGCATCACTGTAGACCCTGTCTCAAAAATAAATAAAATGTAGTTTTATCTATTATGTCAGTCATAAACAACATAGTTTAGTTTTGCCTTCTTCAACATTATATAAATGAAATCATATTATACATATTATTCTCTGTATCAATTATTTCATTCAATAATCTGTTTATACATTTAAGATGTATGTTCCTGAGGTTGGTTCATTTCAAGGCCTGTGTTGTGCTTCCAGTAAGGTAGTCACTAGCTACATTTGGCTACTGATAGTGGTCAATGCGACTGAATCTTTAATTTCATTCATTTTAATTATTTTTAAATTTCAAAGCTGATAATGCAGTTGTTAGAAAATGTATGTTTGCAACAACTTGGGTATATGATGTTACTTTTTCAACTATAAATTTTATGAAATCTAAATATAGATTAAGGTGTTTTGAGGTTTTTTTTTGAGATGGAGTTTTGGTTGTTGGCCAGGCTGGAGTGCAATGGTGTGACCTCTACTCACCGCAAACTCTGCCTCCTGGGTTCAAGCAATTCTCATACCTCAGCCTCTTCAGTAGCTGGGATGACAGGCACCCACCACTATGCCCAGCTAATTTTTATATTTTTAGTAGAGATGAGGTTTCACCATATTGGATAGGCTGGTCTCAAACTCCTGACCTCAGGTGATCCATCTACCTCAGCCTCCCAAGGTGCTGGGATTACAGGCATGAGCCACTGTGCCTGGTCGTGTTTTTGTTTTTTCTTTGAGACAAGGTGTCACTCTGTTGCCCAGGCAGGACAGCAGTAGCATGATCACAGCTTGCTAAAGCTTTGACCTCCCAGGCTCAAGTGATCCTCCCACCTCAGCCTCCCTAGTAGCTGGAACTATAAGCACATGCCATCATGCCCGGCTAATATTTTTAATTTTTTGTAGAGATGGGGTCTCACTGTGTTGCCAGGCTGGTCTTGAACTTGAGGGCTCAAGTGATCCTCCTGCATAGGTCTCCCAAAGTGCTGGGACTACAAGCATCAACTACCTAACATCCAGTCAGATTAAGTATTACTATTATTATTATTACTTACTTTTCTCCCTAGATTGCTCAGCAGAACAGATTTTTTTTTTTTTTTTTTTTTTGATGGAAAAATATCAAAATAGTACCTTTTAA